TTCAATACATTTGCCTCTTCCTGTGTTTTCTACGCTCGAAAATTCAGGTATGGCCCGGTCGTTTTTTAGCACAATCTCAAGTTGATGAGCCGGAGTTTTTGCGTTTCTTAGATTGCAATCCCAGCAAGATTTAAAGGAACACAGATAAATTCTAGCCTCGCAATTCCTCCCGATTTTGTGACGTGCTGCAACAGTACTATTCCAGGAAAAATTTGGATTCATGGAATAAGTATTTAGCCCATGGTTATGAAATAGCTCACGGTTTTTTTTAATAAGATACATGTATTTACCACAACAGTCGTTAATCAGGAAGGTCTCTTGGTACAGGAACTTGGTGGAACGAGAGTTATTTTCTACCTCGTTACAATTTAAACAAAATAGGCATTTTCCCGCTGAAAGGAAACTGACTAAACCCAGCCAGCGGTATAACAAAATGTTGATTACTTGGATCAGTTGTACGGTTTTCATAACCGACCAAAAACACGGCAATCTGCAAAACTAGCAACTTTACTTTGAAGTAGGTACCGATTTTAATTCTAAAATCATCTCATCATACTGTATTTTGTAAAATCTTAAGAGTAGCGCGAAGCGCCTCTGGAAATTGAACTGCGAAGCGGTTACGAGGCGTAGCCCCCTAGTTTAAAAAGACGATTCACATTATACAACAGCTTTATCAGATTTGAATTGTTCTTATGAAGATTGTCTTTATCATTACCACCCTAATATTTTTCGTTGAACGTTTGGAATGAAAACAACGCGGTAACGATGACCTCACTGTCGATCCTATTTCGAATGCTCTCCAAAAATAGACGAATCGATAAAATTCGCATCCATTTGCATAATGTGTTAACGATTGTTATAGTGGTGCTGTATTTATCACAGTCAATATTTTCTATTGTACTCAATAGTACCTATTTTTATCTTCATTTTTTATTTCCAAGCCAAGATGAGACGGCATTAAAACCTAAGTAAAGGGGAGGAGGTACGCACTTTTTATAGCGTTATTTGGCGTCAGTATTTATAAAAAAAATCTTCAAAACTTTCCAATAATGTTATTTTTCTTTTCTTTTGTTACCTAGTTCATGTGTGCATTATTTTGCTGATCATCTTCATGTGTGCAAGCATTACCCTCGATTAAAAACTTTGCCACGACAAGTGCAATGTCTTATCCCTATCTGCTCGCCGCGCGCCGAGGGAAATTCACGAACAGGTCTTAGTCTCAAAAAAAGTAGCTTGTGATTTTTATGGATGTTATTTCCTCTAAAAATTTGAGGTTCACGTCTAATTAGTACTCAGAATGATGAAATATTCAGACGACGCGACCCTGTACATTTTTGTGATTATATATATAAACTTTTTTCGGAGGTCATAAAGAGTTCCTCAGCAAGCTTTTGAGAGATTCTCTACGAAAGTCTCTCAATTTGTATGGATAGTCTCAGTACCTCTCTCACCCCTCCGCGCCCTAAAGTTATTTCCGCTTGAAATGTTGGAAGATTCTTTTTTTTTAAATCAATTGATATAAAATACCCAGAAGTGACTAGAGTCTAGCTCCCATCCTTTATCACGCGGCACATTCGAATGTTAAATCTTAATCTAAATCGCTGTAATCCGAAATTTCGTCTACATGACAGGGATTAGTTTATCAGCGAACAATTTTAAATTTTTGAGTAGTAGAAAGTAGTCTCTCCTTGAACTCTTATCAAAATCCTCAATTAATATCTTCAGAGAATTTTAAGTACGCAATTCAATTTAGGTTTTCGTCGACACCACGCATCGATCTGAATCTTTGAAACGATTCAATGACATCGCCAACATGTGCAGTTATGGATTCGTCATCAAGTTGCTTTTTTTTTCCGATGCAAGATGAAAAGTGAAATGACCCTCGGTGAATACCTGACTGCATTACAGACTACACTGTCATTCTAACAAATTGACTGATTTATCAAAAAAGCACCCATATTCTACTTCGTGTAGAAACTTTTTGGCAGAGATCGGGCTGCTGTCAGCACCCGGTGCCAGAGTTTCTTGAGGAACGCTCAGCTAAAAGCATTCTTCTTCTCTTCCTAATTCATGAAGTAGAGATTTCAGATGGCAAACTGTAAATGAATCAAGGGCCAGAGTTCATCATAAAGATTCCAAAATCACGGATTGGGAACCAAGCCAATTAAGAGATTCTAGGCGCGGGGAAAATTTTCATTTTTTTTCCTGTAGCAAGGAATTTTTTTTTTTGAAGAAGGAGTGTCTTTTCCTAAGGAAATCCAGCATCTCTCCTTTCCTCTAAATGCTTCAAGATCACTTTCACCTCCGACCTGCCTCCCTAATTTGTATGAGAATCTTGGGTGTCTTTCTTTGGAATACATAGGAGCACCAACGCGTCTTATTTTTGAGAATCCCCTTTTAATCTGCAATGACTCTTTACTTTAAACCCATGAAAAAGAAAATTCGATAAAAATGTCGATAGAAGTACTCCGAAGCGACTGCGATTCGAAGAAGGAAGTGCGAGAATACACGCGAAAAATGAGCCCCTACTCATTGTACGTGGCAAAAATCAAGGAGGCAGTGTTTTGCGGCCAAAGCAAGAAGAAGATACATATCATTGATTACGAAAATTAGGGAATCTTGGGGGAAGAAGAAAAAAATAATTAAAAAAAAACCTTTAAATTTACTCCTTACGGCATTGTTTACACCCATAGAGTACATAGAGTCGTAATGTAAATAGGAGAGCTGGCGCCATGTTCTGCTCGGCGAGTTCCGAGCCCGGTGTGCGCCGAGTTCGGGTCACTTTTTCGATACATGTTCGATCCAAAATGGCGGCATGGAATACGTGGTGATTCCTATCTTCTTTGTTTACATCGGATGGCCGGGTACCCGTGTATCGCAAACAATCGATTATGTATCGAAAAAGTGACCCGGCGTCACACAGGAGTCTCGGAATTCGGGACCTGGAAAATGCTTAAAAGAGGCGCCAGCTCACCCACTTACACCACGACTCTATGTACTGCATGTTTACACCATACCCAAACTTCTACGACTTCGTTCGCGTTATTTTTCCGGCCTCTTTTCTCATGCAGCCGTAGACCTCTCTTTGAGAACAGTGGAAAATCCGAGTGAGAAAATAGATATGACTCGTTCCCTAAACAAACCCAACTCCCCTCTCTCCATATCAATGAAATTTCGATTGACGATGTCATTAAGCTCTCTCTCAATGAGTGTGCCAATGTGTGATACTTTACGACCGATATCAAGTGCTCTCATCATTCATCCACTCGTACAGTTACGTTATGCCCGGAACGACAAACACCGTGATATCTCCAAATTTTTATCGCATGTATCAATCTCCACTTGTTCAACTTTTTTTTGATTGTTCATTCCATTTATTTTCTGGCATTCCTCAATTAACTTAAAACCTCAATACTGTATGATATTTCTGCAAATATTATCTTTTATTCTTAGTTGAAGTTTTTATCCAAAACAAGAGAAAGGGCAACCACGGAGTATTTCGCCTTCATTTATTGAATCAAGAATTTTAACTGTCTTACGAGTCGAGGTAGTCGTATTTTCATCGAGTTTGTCAAACCTCTGATAATGGTAGATTCAAGTTTGAAACTATTCTTTTCTTAGCTCTATTAGCGATTCTAGAGATTTCCACAACCCCGCTGATTCGGTAGTTTCTTACGTGGGATGCACTAATTAATGCACCACGTTACGGTCTGTAATGGCATGTATATTGCTCTATTGGTGAAGACTCCATTTTCCGATGTGCGCCAGTTGTTTTCTTTCCTACAATTGGACTTCATTTTGCAATAAGGAACTACAACTTCTGGGTCATACGTAAAAACACTTATATGCATAGGACAACAAATGGCACTCGTGTTGTTTCTTAACCGAGACAGAAATTTTAGTCCCTAATTGCATATTGTACTCCAATTTATCATTGCTCCTGTGAGCGAAACCAATCTCCCATCAGATCTAAAACCATATTCGTGACCGTCTACTTATAAATACGATTCTAGGTGTCGTAAAATGCAAATCGAGATTTCCCTAGTGAAAGTAGGACATTGCAACATCACTCTGATGTCGTGATGACATCCACTAAGTGTTTCATAAAGCAGTGTGACGTCATTGTGATGTCCGCTTAACACTCTACCATCACAGTGGCATCATAGTAACGCCTGAATGATCAGAATGATGTTACTGTGATATCAGAGTGACATTATTATGAGGCATATTTCATAAAGCATCGTGATATCTCAATGACGAGGTTATTATGTTTCACTTTTACCAGGGTACCTCTGCTGAGGCTAGCATCTAGTGGAGCATTTTCCACAAATTTTGGCACAAAAATTGCAAATCATTCAGAGGTATTGCAATTAGAAAGCCGTTCAAATTGCATAATTTTTATTTTTAAAGGGCCTTTCATAGGTGCGATCTATCACGCTCGAGACACACAAATTGGCAAGGCATATCTGCCCCCTCCCCCCCCCCCAAAAAAAAA